CATAATATGCTCTGAAGCAAATAGTTAGATATACCTTCAAGTATACTTGAAAGTGGCATTTGACCTGAAAGTATACTTTTTTCTTGTGTCAAATGCGACATTATCGATTCCAAACGGGAATAGAACAACAACGCCACTGGAACGAAAGGAATAGTAATTTAACGATAATTAATTATTTTTGACATAAGAATAATTCCAAATGATTTATAGAAGTTTGGTATTATATTTAAAAATAACTAGAAAATTAGATATATTATAATATATATAATATATATATAAAAATATGTATAAAATATATAAATGTGTAATAAAATATAATAAAATATATATAAAATATATAAAAATACTTTTTATGGTCACAGTTTGAATTATATATTATAATAAAAAATTTTGTTTTTAAGTATCTTTAATACTTCTACGTATCAAATGTAATGTATAATGTTCTAATTATTTCCTGATTTATAAAGATTTAAAATTTAAGAAATATATTATATAAGATTTTAATTTACGCGCGGATTTGAATAAATAAGAAACTTTTTCTAGCCAATTAGAAAACAATCTTTTATGATTGGTGACTAGATACATTGATACCAGTTTGCTGTTAGAAATTGTGAGGAAAAATTATGTTTCGTCTTCAAAAATACATAATTGTGTATAATTGTGTCAATTTTTATTAATATTTTATTTATTAAGATTTATTAAGATATTGTTTTATAATTTAAAGATTATTAGTAGTTTTGTTTATATGCATTTGTTCATCATTATTATATTAAAATTAAATAGTTGAATTTTTTTCTTTGTTTCATATTGGTTATTTGATATTTAATTATTGCTAGTTTGTATAAGGATTTTTAACTGGAGAATTTTTAATTTTTAAGTCACGATTTGATAACAATATAATTTAATATAATTGTAATTTTATACATTTGCTGGTTTAAATTTTTATTTTTTACAAATTGTAATATTTTTTTACAAATCATTGAAGATATTGATTTATGAATTTATATACGATTAACAAAACAATTCAAAGATTTTTGTGCAAATGTAATCAGATCTTATTTATTTTAATAAAATATGTAAATAGATGTTATTTACATAAAAATGAAAGTTAAACTATTATAATTTATTCTATTTCATATATATATATTTTTTATTCTATATGTTTAATTCGTGCATTACATATTTTTATATTTGCTTTGATATTACGCTCAAAATTGAAAACATTTTGTATAATATTTCTCCAGGAAATTGGCGATTTACATTTTTCGTGCCGTACATTTGTTCGACATGTTGCAACTTGTCGAACTCTCAAGTACTCTCTCTTCCCCCCTCCAAATTTGTAATTCGATACATCGAAATTGTGATGCGGAATGTTATTATGTTATTAAAATCGTGATGGACTTCGCTTCAGGTGAGTGATCTATCTATTATGTAATATTTATTCGATAGTTATTCTTTTATTTCTTATACTATATATTATTTAATTTATACACATTTATTCAATAATTTATTGAATATTATTATAATTGATAATTTTTTAAGGAATAATTTATTCTTTTTTTTCTTTATTTTCTTTATTCATTTAATTATTACAACAATTACGATCATATTTTACACTAATTACGTTTTTAAGATGAAATTTGACTTTTATTTTAAATTTGTTTCATTTTATTGCAATAGATTCTAATTTTGTATTTTATAATTTTATAAATTATATAAGTATATATTTTATAAATTTATTTTTAAGATTTTATTATTATCTTATCTATCAGATTAATAACTGACTGCTGAAATAATTTTCTTGGCGGGAAAAAGGGAAATATGGATGCTGAAATGATCATTAACATAACAATCAATTTGTGGTTTTTCACATGATGAAAAATGTGGTAATGTTTTTTTGTATTAATTTTTTTTTAATTATTTATTGGATGAAAAAAATATATTTAAGCAGTTTATAATATATATATTATATATACAAATTAATAGTGTTGCGTAAATAATAATTACAATAGTGACTGGTATATGCTTCGAAAAACTTTATTTTTTTCTTTTTTTTTTATTAATAATTAAATTGCAAATAAAATAAAACATTTTTTGCGATTTTTTTGGAAAATTTATTATATTAGTTGCGAAAGAAAAAAGATTCATTCACGATTTGTTGGGCATCACATTGAGTGAATAATTTTAATGATTCTATTATTTCTTTATTTTTTTTTTTTAACATTCCTTTGTAAAAAAAATTATTGAAAATATTATTAAAAACTATATATTATTTGTTATTAATCATTCATTTATTATAAAATTATTAAAATTATTGTAATTCGAATTTATGAAATTATTATTAATAATTATAAATATTACAAATATGAAATTTTTTTAATTTTTAAAATTGTGAAAAATGAAAAATTGAATTACTTAAAAATATTTAATAATTGATGTTTTTTAGATATTAGTATTTTTATATATAAATTTATATATAAATTTTTTAGTTCATTATTAATTATTAATCATTATTGAGTTTGTTACATATGAATCAAAGAAAATGAAAGAAAATAAGAAACATATGTAATAAAACTTTTTATTGGATTTTATTTGGTATATTAATTATCTTTTATTGAATTCTACTAATTATTTCATGTGTTTTTTCTTTTTGTTTTTTGAACTTTTCTGCTTTCAATGAAATAGAATGAAGAGAATATCCTTATTAGATCTAAATTTTTATATAAGTCGGATTGCAATAAATAAATTTTATAATTTTTACATAGATTTAAAAAAAATATTTAGATTTATAATAGGTAAGATTTCAAAGCAAGGATATTAAAAATCAGAATATTAAAGCTATATTCCCAAATTTCACTTTGTTTTTCATATCTTTTTGTCATCAATTTCGCTTTCTCCACTTTGTTTGTTAGAGAGATTCTCCATTGTATCAGATTGTCATTTCAATTTTTTGATGCAAACTATGAAACTTTTCATCTGTAAATTATCAAATCCTCGATTTCCAATAGCTATTTTCATATTCGTTATACTTTATGTAGCATATTTCTTGATATATATTACGACAAACATTATGTTTTTAATAAGTAAATTAAATTAGATTTTATAACTAGGAAGGATACTTTATAATTAGTTAGTAAGTTGATTTGATTAGATAGATTATTTTTAATTAAAATAGCATGCATAAATTGATACTTTGCAAGAAATATTTACTAAATGAAATGTATTTATAATTAAGTGCATAATTTGGTGCTAATTAAATAGATTAAATAATGTAATGTAGACAATTAATGGTAATCTAATCCTTTGTGGAATGCTTACTTCGCTAATTTTTTTTCTTTTTTATGTTACTTAATTATCAATTATTTTTCATTTTCATGAGAATGAAAATGCAAAATATTGATACGAAGTCATGCATATTAATTTACATTTATTTTATTTTTAGATTCATTTAATCTTCCGCGTTGGTTTTCTTTACGACCTCTTTTTTTTTTATACAACAATCAAAAATTTAAATGTTCTGCAAATATATACTAAAAAAAGAATTTCTTTGAGAATGAATAAATTTTTGCGTAAAAGGAAGATAGATAGGTCTCCAATTCACAGAAATCTCTAGATGACATTTGGATAATCATTATTTGATATATAATATATAATTATATTTATTATATAGCTATATAATTTATATTTATAGCTAATTTATAGCATTATATAGCTATATATTTATAGCATTATATAGCTAATATTCCTGGTTTATATATTATATATGAAATATTATGATTAACTGATTAGCTGCAAATTTAATTGTGATGATTATATTTTTATATAATTAGGAAACTTACTAAAATAATCATGATAACATTTTCATTTCGATTCTCAAAAATTATAAAGTGAAAATATAGATTTTTAATTCGTAGTTTTTTAATGATTTAGAAATTCTGGTTTAAGAATTTTGAAAAATAAATAAAGAGAAAAATATTATTTTTTCGAGTGATAAAAATTTATTTATGCAATTAAAAAATTGAAAAAGATTAAAGAGAAAATAATTTTGCTTATTTTTTCATTTCAAATAATTTTGTGATGATTTATATAATATTGCATCTATTAATATTTTTTTTTTTTGTAAATTTTATATACTATACTATACTATACTATACTATACTTATTATATACTATAATAATAATAATAAATTTGATTCGCATGGACTTTGGTTATCAGTTATCAACTGAAATAAAATTGCAGATATTAATAGTTCTTATATTTATCGTTTCGAATCATAGAGGACTCTGATTTCTTGTACAATTGGTAATGTAGAAGTCAAAACATGAAATATCTTATTGAAATAGTAAATCTATTTTGTATTTTATCTATGCTTTATCATACTTATTTTGCATTTTAATAGTTTTTTTTATTTTATTTTATTTTAATAGTAAATTTTTCAAAATTTTTTAACAATTCGATTCAATTAATGTATTAAAATCTAATTGTGAATGAATTAGTTATATTATGAATTAAAGTTTATATTTTATCTTCATATTTTAAATATATTCGAAGACATTTCAATTTCAACTTTATTTTAAAATAAAACTTTATTTTATTATATAAAATAAAAAATTGTATATATATTTATGATTGAATTTTTATAATTAATTGGTGCATTACATTATATTCAGTAATATAATATAAAATAATAATTTTCATAAACTTATTATCATTTTCATAATTACTTGTAAATTATTTGTAAATAAATATGCGAAAATTATAAAAATACACACAATAATATTAGGTAAAATACGAATTCTTAAATATATAAAAATATTAAATTTAAAAGTAAATAAGAAATACTAATTGTAAGTGTAATGATAGAAAATTCTTTTAAAATAATTTAATTTCAATTGAAACCGTAAGATGGCATTATCTATGAGTGTCTACGCTGCCATCTGACGGCGAAAATTAAATATTACAATGAGTTAAAAAGATTTTCCAATCCCCTCTGTTATAGAGAATTTCACTTGACCACACTCCTGCTTTGGTCGCAGTACAGTGTTTGACGCGCAGTCGAAGGAGGCCAGTCAAAGCGGAGCATAAGAGCAAATGGGTGGACAATGAATCGCACGATGTTTTCCAATACAACGGTATAATGTGAATAGTGATAAATCGACATGATATGGTGCATAATCGGATTGTAAACGCGCGCGGTAATGTGGATAAAAAGTAAAAAAGCTAAGAAAAAAGTGCAGTGACTCTACGTTTGATTGGTAGTGCACGCAGAGCGGCCCTTCGTGTACATACACATGTAAGTAATATATATATATATATATATATGCTCGTATACACAAAAGACTCACACGACAACTCTTTCTCGTCGTCTCTCTCATTTTTCTCTCTTTCTCCCTGCATTCCTGCAGTAGCTTGCACGTACTTGCATTTTTTTTTCTCTCGTTTTACATGAGATTTACGACCGCGCCCCCTTCGACTTGATGCTTCTTCAACACTTTTCCAACTTGCTAGAAATAGATAGTTGTATTGTTCGCATCAGCTTCTTTACTAGAATTCGATTTCTTGTTATGCTAATCGAACCCTTTTCTCTTAACAAAATAGCAAGAAAGCCAGAGAGAGAGAGAAAGAAAAAGTATTCCTCTCGATGTTTCAAAGATTTTACGAATTAACACATAAAAGGTTTACGAGATACTATTTAATATAATATACGTAATAATTCATTATGACTCGCGAATTGGAGTAATAATACCATTTATTATAATACATTTCCTTGTTTATTTTTTGTAATGCATACAGAACCTGAATATCCATAGTTGATTATCAACAATTATAGATTGAATTTTTTTCATGACACAAGTAAATCCATAGAATAATCGTTTTATATGTGTGAATTTATACGATGAAACTAGCCACGTTATCACGAGCGTTTCAGATTATGATAAATACTAATTCGCGTTGGAAATCTTGTAATCGCTTATCTGTCAGCTGACGACAAGTCAGCCATGTCGTAGTTGTACTAGCAATCATATCCGCGTGTCTATCATGGAAGTTTCGAATTTTTTCTCGCGTAACTTCGTTACAACTGCAAATACTATCAAATACTAAGAATGAATATTATTCATCGGAATCGAATTGTAAGTAAAGTTTAATTAACTTCAAAATATTGATTTAACTTCGTTTTCTTACAATAACCTATGACGGTTTTACATGTTAGATGCAAAAAAATTTATAAATATTTATCGCTCGTATTATATCACACAGTAATTATTTTTACATCGACTGCATTATTTTATATGTTTTTGATACATATATATATCAAGAATGTGGATTATAATAATTTACTTAGATAATTCATAATAATAGTTTTACCAAAAGAATAGTCAGTTAAATCTGATTCAGCCTTATATAATGATCTTTATTCATGACTGAAAAAAGGCTTCTGTGTCAGCCAAGATGTTCTGCTTGAGCTAATTCAATTCTAGCGATATCAGGGTTTTTCTTAATAAATTCTATAAATAACTATATAATCGATTACAGAAATATCAAGTTCGTTTATGTTAATTTACGCAATGGTACACTCGGGAGCAAAGCCACATTTATTTTTACGCGCAACAAAGTGCATTCACACGTCTTGCGCACAATGATCGAAAGATACTCGATCTATCGGTATTGACTGTCCTCGAAGGACAGCAGTAAGAGTGAAAGAACTTCTGTTTAGCAAAACTAAGCTAACTAAACAGGCCTCCGTTTTATCTTTCATCCCATAACAGTATATCGTACTTCGTGTTTCTCGTAAAATTTCAATTGCAAGTGTTTACCATTAATCCTATGCGTTATACGATTTTCCGTTTCGATTCCGATTAACATTTTTAAAATATTTTCTATTATAATATAGACGATCGTAAAAAAAAAAGTACCAACTATTAGATTTATTAATAATACGATATTTAAAGATACGAATTCAGTCTAATATCAAAATCCAATTTTGTCAATTTTTGCAAGAAATCATGTTCTAGAGAATCTTTTTTCTTTCTTCGAGATACAAATATATTTTTCCTTCGTGATTTCCAATTGAGATTCGTCACTTTATTGTACAATACTCGATCGTTTATGAAATCTTTTGTAAAAAAAAATCATAATGCAGACCTTATAAGCCGAGATGCGATTTACGAATTAGCATACCTTTCTGTCGCGTTCGTGCAAATAATTTTTATCGTTGTGTAACGTAGGTAGCTTAAGCAGTGTGGGCCGCGTGTACCGCTTTGTCGTAAGATAAAAACCTGATCTTTGTCCTTTTTTGCGTGGTCGACAAAATTGAAACTTCATCGTTGTCCATGTATAAATCTCTTGTCTAGAGTCCGCTCCTCTTTAGGAAATAGACTATGCATTACGTTCAATCGTATCGAAGTTATTGCGATCATCTATCGAAATCGAATTTTCGTCTCTTTTCGATATTTTTCGCGATATCTCGGCGATAGAGTTATTAGTAATGTAAACTTGGATAAATTATTATTGAATAGCGTATAGTTATTTTTTAGCAGAAGATTACTCATTATTTGTATTCATACTTAGATCAGAAGTTGCAGCAAACAATACGTAGAAAAGTTTTATTAAACTATCGATGACGCGGTCGGAATATCGAATTGTCCTTCGATTGATGATTCATTGGTATCGACTCGATTATGATATCGATCACAAAGATAAAGAAAGTATGATCTAGAACGGTCCAGATGAAAACACATTTATTTTAAATCGTAAATTAAATTATAAATAAACGAATATTAAATTATTCGTATTGATTAGATTAGAAAATTTTAAATAAAATAAAACAGGATTATCGATATAAATTCTTAAATAAAAATCCGATTAATACCGAGTCACGAGGTTCGTTAGAGTGAATTGGATCGATTTCGAGTCCGCGAAAATGAAATATCTTGTTTTTAAACGGTGGATTAATTGCAATCTCTGCGGCGAATCGGAAGCGTCGATCGAATTGTGAAGCAACCGTAGCCGCAATTACAAGTGAATCGAGCATTAAATCGAATACGGCGTGAAGCGTATTTACGATCATCGTCTTGTTATGCTACCTTGCAGCTGTGCTACCGCTCTTATATGCCAGGCTGGAAAATAAACGGAAGAAAATACGTATAGATATATAGAGCAGGTATATACATGATCCTTTTTTTTCCAACACCGGGGAAATGTTCCTTTTCGCTCTTGACAAAGGCTCCTTCGCCTATTCAACGAACAAACAGGCATTGATCTTTTTTCTACCTACCGCGACATCTTTGAATTATATTTTTCCGGATGACAATGCACGAGCCTATGCACCGTTCACTTCCTGTGCTCCGTGAAATCGTGGAATCTCTCGCTTTCGGAAATCCATCCATCGATTTTTATCGCCTTCGCGGAATTTTCTTAAGATTTTTGCAAATTTCCAAAAATTTAGAGTTTCCTGTTTTTGATCGCCGTCTCGAGAAATTGTCTTCGAGTTTTTCGAAAATTTTATTTATTTTGCGATTAAATGTAATCAATTTTATGTATTAATTCTTTCTGGCCAATTATTTCGAACGGTTGAAACATCTCGGATACCGTTACACCCGTATATCGTACATCCTGTATATTTTATTTACACGAAGTTTCGATTGAGTGGCAATCTATAACAATTTATGAAAAAAGATAACAAATCTCCGTTAGTTTTGAAATAATAAATCATAATAAATCAATGAAGGTAAAATTTCTTCTAAAATATAAAAAGTGTTCAAAATGTTTTTAAAGATATATATTGGTGAAATCCATGAATCTTTTCCAATAATATAACCGAATTTCAAGCAGTGTTTTACCTTAAAAGAGGTCGAGGCAAACTTTCAGTTGAAGTTTTAATTCCAATTTTTCGTCAAAACTTCGAAATCGATTCCAAAATACTGCATATAGAAACATCTCATCCTATTATTAATTATAAAATAATTTCGTAATTAAATTTTCAACTGCGATCGATATTTTAATATTTCAATAAATCTGATTTTTTTTATTAAGCAAACGATCTAAAAATATGTTATATAACTTTTCTCTAATCGTGTGAACAAATGATTATCTATCAGATTATTATCTAAACAAACTACTTCAGTCGATTACTTCTTTTTAATAAAAATAATGAAATTTGCAGAAAATTTCTAATATCTCTTTTTTCTTAAAATTTTCTTCAAATTTTTAGTCCAGGATTATAAATAATTCGACGGATAGGAATTTCGCATTCGAGTGGTTTCCTCTTTATTCTTAGCGCTGTTAGAAACTTGGAAACGCAACGTGTTTGGCCATAGTCGCAGCTGCGTTTCGGATTTATGAGTTTATCGATCCGCACGAGAATCACGGACAGGAACGATGTAGCTACGTACACGTGTGTGCTACTACGTGAATCTAATTCACGATTCCTTTGCTCTAACGCGTGCACAAGTGTGCCTCTTCGAAGACAGAAAAACGCGCGCTTTGCGCACGAATGTGTGTACGTATGAATAGAAAATTCAAAGAGGAGATTAAAATAAACGTGAAAGTTTTACGAGTTGTGAATCTAGCGCAAAATTAAATTGTTCAGAAATAAGCTTCAATGAGATTTTTTAGAATCGTATTTTCTTAGGATCGTTCTAAGAAATCCACTCGTTTCGCCCGAACATTCTCTACGCACCCTTGGTCTTCAACCGACGAAACTGAGCCACGCCGCGTTTCTGCACGATTCGCTGCGGAGACGAACATTTTATTCTTAGATAGAGCTGTTCGCGAGAACGTCTCATTCGAGAGAGATGAACTTTTCTCGTTCCATTTTCAAAACTGGAATCAATTTCTTTTTCCCCTCGTGGAATATTTCCAAGTTATTTTCGAACAAATTTTTCCATTTTTATTTATTTATTTATTTTTTTGTATCACTTTTTACGACAAATTGCGAACGAATATCTTTATCCCTCGAGATATAATTTTATTTCCATTTCGCGGTTGGAAATAAAAATGAACACTTGAGAAAAAATTACGATCCTTACGAAACGAAATATTATTCTTTCACTTTGCTTTCTAATATCGATTTAAAAAAAAAAAAAAGAGGCGTTTTACTTTCTAACTACCGAGGTATTTTAGAGGGTGGAAACGAGATCGTCTGCTTTTCAATTACATCTCTTCTTTTTAATTTTGCACACTCGAACACGTGCAACTTTTAACAGACTTTCATTTTCATCCATTCGACCGCTTTCTATCGTATATAATTATTTCGATTTCAACCGATGAATATCGACCGAACTATCCAACCAA